GCTCTTTGTACTGTACAAAACACATTTTCATCATTCGTGGTCGGCCCTGGGCACACAAATTGACTTCTTCATAATGAAATATATTGAGCCATTTCTATCTCACTCCGATCGAAGCACGGAAAAACATGCTGCGCGTCTCCAACGTGTCCGGAATCAGTCTGGCATCCGTGACATCCGCACTACGCCAACTCCAGGTTAAAGAGCGCCTTGACGTAAAACACAAATTGATATCACCTCTCTTTTCATTCGCATCAAAAACAAAATTTCGCATTTCCGACTCCCACCCCGTTTATACCGCTAAGTGGTCACCATTTTTGCTGCTGCCAGACGTGTCCAGCTATCCTATACCAAACAAACCATCATCCGCAGGGACTCCCTTTACGCGCTGTGTGCCCTCAACACTCAACACAACACATTTTAACCCTTTCATTGCCGTAATTCGGAATATTATCCCACCGCTTACACCCAAAGAGAATCTCCAAATGCTTCGAATACACAGCCACGCAAACATTCCTGGCGACGAGACCGCTGGTGGCTTTGCCAGCGACAGCCAGCAATTAACTCTAATAAGTGCGCCTCCTGTTCCTAAACAAGGCGCACTTACATATACAAACTTAAAGTTCCGATGCTCTTTGCAACGTGAATGAGATTTGCAGCTCCACCCACATTTATGCACCATTAAGCCCACTCATCATCATCTAACATCATTAAACATCTTATCAGGGCTCACATTTAAAAGAGATAATCCTAGCACGTCTCGCATTGTTATTATAGTCCTGACTCGTAGCACGTCGTGACGTTATATATATATATATATATATATATATATATATATATATATATATCATACGATATAATACACATAAGGGTGTGCCGTCCTCGTTATCTACCGTTATTAGGCTAGGCCATGTGATCAGCTGACGCCTGATGACTAATGCAGAGTTTTTGTTTTGACTCCTATGCAGGAGTACAAAATATTGCAGCAATATGTACTAGAATATGATGTATAATTCTATGAAGTGTAACAAATCTAATAGCCAACGACAACGGCATATACGACGTTGGCGGTGTCTTAAGTTATGTTCGACAATTGCGCGTAAAAACACATCGGCACACATCCGACTGCTGCTCTCAGTCCAAGGTGCCAAGAGGAACCATCATCCTGTCCCTGCCGATTAAGAGTTACGTCCGCGTCAGCGGTGTACGCCCTCCGATAAAATCGGGAAAAACCCCAGAGCAAAAGGGAAGGCACCTGAGCGATTGAGGGTGCCGCGGCAGACCATCAAAGACGCTCCCGCCATCAGCATAGGGCCCTCAGAACAAGCGAAAAGAACCCCAAAACCAACGTGGTGGGCTCCCGCAAGACTGAGAGTGCCCCGGCAGGCTGACATATGGGACCCCGTCCAGCCCACAGGGCCCTCTGAGCAAAGGGAATTTCCCAATAGCAGTGTGTATGAAATAATGCCCCTGTACGAACAAGAGTGCCCGGGCAGTACACAGAAAGAGTTCTAACAAGAGTGGAATGTCCTCCGCAAATGAGATCGGGGGGATGATGATGAGAATGAGTCCTAGATCTATGCAGAGAACCCCTGATCATCGAGTACTTCGGTGCGTTAATATCCATATATGGGCTTAGCAATAGCACAGGGCCCTCCGAGCAGGCGGAAAGAACCCGTTACCAATATGTAGGGCCCCTGAGCAAACAAGTGCACCCCGGTATAAGGGCCCCCGCAATAGTGTACAGAGCCTTTCGAGTGAATGTAAAGAATCTGTTGAGGACTGTTGATCGATCAAGAGTGCCAAGACATGTTAAAAATGCAAAGAGCCCGAGTGCAACATGGAAGTCTCTTTAGTAATCGAATTGCCCTAGCAAGTGGACATATGAGGACCCCGGCAACAGCGTGGGCCTCTGGACAGCATGATGATCTTCAAAATATTTCCCAATCACCACCCTCTCAATCAGCAAAAAGTTGTTTCTGTATGCTCACGGGCGTTTTACTTTCGCTTGCGAATGTCCTTGGTCGTCTGGAGACCCAAGAACATTAACTTGTATGGCGTTTTGTGTTTAAAAAACCGCGTCTTTTTGGCTGGCTATGGACCCCATCGGGACCCAAGGAGGGATTTGACCCCGGGCCCCCTTCCTCCTTCTGGATCCGCCGCTAGTCCCTCATGCGACTGAGCACTCTACGTTGTTTATGGCGAGACGATGCTACTGATAAGCGCAAGTAGCGTTCGCGACCCTGCTTAAGTCACGTCCATTTAGTTAATAACGTGTTAATATTCAGAGATTTTCAGACTTAATCCGAGCATTTTTAACTGAATGGATTTCTGATCTCAGAGCTCAGAGCTTTTCTGAGCTTGTTGTGTGCGCCCTGACGCCTGCCACTTAAGAAATCTGACCTTTAAAGCTCACCTCTTATTGGCTTACTAGTAGCTTACTTGCGATTGGATATTAAAGAGCGCTGACATGCATAATTCCGTCACAAATGCGTTGGATCTATATCTGGCACGTGACAACAGCCAAGCGCATGCCATGATGCTAAGTATATGCAGCAATATCAGCACGACCTCTAAAACTATCTAACCTCATAAAGATCATCTCAACATATTCAAATCGGATGCTTTATTGGCGGGGCAATGCATGACCACGTTTTTTTTATCCCTTATCGTTTTCAACCTTCACGGTGACCTTTAGAGGGCATGTCGCCAAAGATGCATATGCCATATAACACATGACCCCCCCCCCCCGCGCCGTCAAGTCTTGCATGGATTTACGGGCTTAAACTTCACGGACACATCCGCACCGAAACTTGCAAAGCAGGTAGACTAGCCCAGAACTTCCTGAAAGCAACAGTTTGTTGAACCCCTGAACTCATGCTGTTCCTAATGAATATGCACACTTGCCCGATCATAGAATAGTGCTCATGCATATGGAATACTGCTTATCTAGAAAGCTTTCACTCCTTGGTGAATGTTTAACAGAGATAGACTAACAGGTCACTGGTTAGAAAACCATAGCTTCACCGAACGTTTGGTGAATTTTTTTAGAGAAAAAATTAAACTGGCGCAACTAACTAAAGCACATGATGCATCATTACAGGGAGTATGCCACCTTCTTGTACTTTTCATTTATTGCATAGATGTGACTCGCACGATATGATCAACAATACCAGTTTTCTCAAAATCCTTCTGAATAGCTCAGAATATCGACCTGAAGGAGCCGTTTCTGCGGGAAAAAATCTCATTGGACACCCTGTTCACTACTATGAAAGTAAAACATTTCATTTGCATTACTGTTCCCAACTTGTATATTCTGTAGTACTTGCAACACACTAATTTCTCAAAATGTTTGTGTTATGAATGCCGCGACAGCTTGAAACACTGCTTAGACAACAATATATGCGAACATGAGGCTATTTTTCCGCGAATTAAACGAAACGCTGTACTATGGCCTTGCTTTTACCCTAATGGCGGTCACCACGGTAACCCTTTTCGAGGCGCGCTTTGGCTGTGGGAACGGGAGCATCACATGCTCCATAGCGACGCACTAGTTCAAACTTCAACCAATGCACTTCATGGTTACAGTTCCTTGCCGCCCGCTATGCCAATCACAATTGTTTTATTCGCACTGGCAGAGGTGCCACGGCGTTTGCTATGACGACGGTGCTCGCGAGAACTGCAGGGAAGAAGCGAAATGCGGTTACAAAGTGTTGACAGCGTAATTTGGACTAGTAATAATTAAAATTGATATGCTCATGATGTCTTGTCGGTGCTGCAGTGACACTACATTGTGGCATTATTAAACTAAGTGGCCATGAAGTTTCACTAGAGTGTGTTTTTGAAATATGACTCAAATGTGTGACACTCCGTAGCCCTAATAATTAACCAGATCTCCAAAGTGCACCTGCGCTGAGCGCTTGAAGACCTTGAAGCTGTGCTCATGCCGAAAGTTTGGAGACCTTGAAGCTGTACTCAATCTAGGGTTGACTTATGCGTGCTCACCTAACCCAGTTTTGGAAAATGCCCGAAAGTAAATTATGTGTATCCCCAGATATCCTGCTTTGGCCGCCCTTCACGTGTTCCCACTTAAGGTCAATGTCACAACATATATTTTAGCGACCATTCTCACTGACATCAGGAGACGCGTCTTTTTGTTGCGTTGGGTGGAATTACCTGCCTACCGCAACTGTGCGCGTGCTCATTGTTTATCGACCTCTCCTGGGTTGATGGATTCATGTCTGTGTGACATACTTCATGCCTCTGTTTAGGCACGTGGTCAGGTATAAGCTCCATGCTTGTATGCTAGAGCTCTGTTAGCATGACGTTAAAGGTTCTGCTGCATCACTGCAACATGGTTTGAATCGCATGACTAGCATTTCGGACGGTGCACAATTCCAGTCACTTCTCGTTCAGACATTAACCCCGGCAGAAGTGTACAGACTGACACGTTTAGGAATCTAGGGCTCTTACAAACTTTTTCCGTCAAGTGTCTAAATCACACTGGTTATCACTCTTCCGAGGCCAAGGAACCCAGTACGGTGTTAGAACCTGTCGTCACGGTGAGTACGTGGCCATTGCCAGGGTTAGATGCCATATAATACTGTCGGAGTAGCACGGAACGACGCCCATGAAGTTTCCACCGCTTGGCTCGCGGACATTAAGTATGTGAATGAATTGCATCTCTCTCCTAAACGTCATATGCCATGGCAAATGCATATTCGTCACACTCGCAGCAAATCAAACTTTGTCTATGGACAGAAATGTATTACAGTTAACAAAGTAGAAAACGATCCATGGTAGCTAACTGACTAGATTATTCCAAATTTCACGACGCGCCCACACACGCAGACAGACCCACTCATTGCACATGGCTCTCTGGGCTCAGCCAGGTCGGCTGACGGCATCGTCACTCCTCATCCACCGCGTGCCAGTGGCGCTGGATATCGGCCGCGGCGCTGCCAGACCTCAGGCCTCGAGCTGCCCTCCCCCCCCCCCCCACTCCGAGCGAGCGCCGTACTGGCGCTGTCCACTGCGAGACGGAGCGCTACACCGGCGCAGACCAAATCTAGTCACGAGAGCGCCGCTGACGCACGCCAAGTGTAAAACTGAGTACAAAAAGAACCACTGACGATACGCACACACACACGAGGGCGCGCCTCGGACGCACAGTGACGCCACTCCAGGCCGCGCGGAGCCGTGACGCCGCCGCGGGCCACCATCGTGACGTCACTCAGAGCTGCGCCGTGGGCCAGGCGATCTTGGCCTCGAGCCGTTGTAGGCGAGCATACAGTGCGTTCCGCTGGCGGTCAGCTCCTGCTTGAGCAGCTGCGGACACTCCTGGTCGCCGAGCAGGGTCTCTGTGGAGCCAGGACCGGAGGTGAGCGGCCGACGCCCGACACCCGACACGGGCCGCGCCTCCGCCTGAGACCATCGCCCGACACACAGCCAGCTCTTCCGAGACAGGGCAGCCGCGACGCGGCCGACAGCGGTCCACTGTAGGCGCAGACAACGGCCGACAGCAGTGGACTGCGGCCGCACACACCGGCAGACAGCGGCAGACGGGCGGAAGGCACGTCACGGGACCTTGCGCTCGCCACCCAGTCCGGCACCCACCGTTGCCGTTGATGAGTTTGAAGAGACCGTAATCGATGGGACTGGTGATACGCAGCTTGTTGCCGAGCATCTTGCAGATGTCTCGGGCGCTCGTGTTGGGCCGCGCCGGCAGTGTGCGACTGATGATGGTGCCCTGCTGCTCGTCAGGGATGATGACTCGCAGCAGGCCGTCCACCGAGTCAGCGCCGCTGCACGAGCCAGAACACTGGCGGCACACGCGGGCACATCCCGTTCATGATGAAACTGCAGCCATCACCGGTGCATGAGTCGAAACAATGAAGACAGATACAGACACAAGCCGGACCAGAGCGGTACATTGTGTCACTACAGCAATCCGAGTATTCATGAACGCCTTCTAATGACTAGCTCGTAATATCTGAAAATTACGACGACGTTAAGAATGGTGGTGTCCAGCTTTTGCTGGTCGGGTCTGTCCAGCCTGACCTGAGCGGAGCCGGCGCTCCGACGGCTGCCGGTCACGTCTGTCCAGCCTGACCTGAGCAGAGCCGGCGCTCCGGCGGCTGCCGGTCACGTCTGTCCAGCCTGACCTGAGCAGAGCCGGCGCTCCGGCGTCTGCCGGTCACGTCTGTCCAGCCTGACCTGAGCGGAGCCGGCGCTCCGGCGGCTACTCACGTGTGACAGGCTCCTGGTGGACTCGCGCGACCGGTCCTCCAGGTAGTGCTGCAGGTTCTTCAGCACGTGCACGGCCGAGGACAGCATGGTCAGGTAGTAGCCGGCCTCGCCGTTTAGCAACATAGGGTGCAGCAGGCCCCACATGTAGTCGGCCTCAAACTGGGGAGAGGCGACCCCCGCCCCGTCACCGGCCAGCAGTCACACCGCCGGCGCTGTCGACCGATGCACGACACTGAGGCGGCTTCAAAACCAGTGAGGGGCTCGGCTTCCACACCAGTGGGGGGCTCAGCCTCCACACCAGTGGGGAGCTCATCCTTCACACCAGTGGGAGACTCATCCTCCACACCAGTGAGGGGCTCATCCTCCACACCAGTGGGGGACTCAGCCTCCACACCAGTGAGGGGCTCGGCTTCCACACCAGTGGGGGACTCAGCCTCCACAGACTCAGCCTCCACACCAGTGAGGGGCTCGGCTTCCACACCAATGGGGGACTCAGCCTCCACAGACTCAGCCTCCACACCAGTGAGGGGCTCAGCAGCCGGCGCTATCCGCTACTGGTTCTCGCATCAAAAGCATGTCGATGGGTCAAAGGCGCGCATAGGCTTTTAATACGTTGATTGACGATGAACAAATGGAAAACCCCCGTCGAAACAATGGCTATGATTAGCTTCGCTTGAGACAGCTTATGCATATCATACGCTAGTGAGAAACTTTGCGAATATGTGCTTCATAGTCCCATACGGAGCATGGCGCCGAATATTCTGCAAATATTAAATACCAACGCCGTCATTTCCTTTCATCATTACATGCATGTCACCGTGGTGTGGGGAGCAATGCCCGTCTCCATACCGAAGATGTGGTGGTGTACTTCTACATTCGTTACACTACCTGCTGTACATTGAGGTTGGTAACATGCCGCTATTCGGGCGCGTGCGTTTTGTTCACTGCCGTACCTCTATGGTGGTGGCGTGGCAGTGAGCGAGCGTGAAGATCAGCAGCGGCAAAAACTCGTCGGCCGGCAGGGAGGCATCTTTGGCGCCGGCGGCGGCGAACAGCGCTGATATCACCGCCAGCAGGTGCTCCAGCTTGTCCAGCGGGCTGATGGCGGCCTGCATCTCAACCGCCGAACGACGAATCATCTCCAGTGCGGCGGCGGACGGCGGCGGACGCTCCGACTTCAGCCCCAGCGAGGACGCCGAGCGGCCGCGAGCGAACTCAAGGTTCTCAGCCAGTCGCTGGACGGCGCCACTGCGGCGCGCATCCTCCGCCGCCAGCTGGCTGATGTGGTCGTACAAGGGTCGCACCAGCAACTCCTCCAGCACACCCTCCAGGATCACGTCCAGGTTCAGGAACTCAGTGGACGACAGCTAAGCAAGGGACAGTACAGAATTACGGTACGCACAAAAACATATTTGATAAATAGCAAGCACGGGCTCAACCCTGACACGTGGCCAACATTTTCCCCAGGGGGCCGAATGCTAAGTATTTTCCAAAAATCCTGCGACTTTGAACCAGATTCCCGTGATACCGCCCAGTGTCTAGTACAGAACTCTTGTGTTAGGGGGAGAGCATGGTCCCCTCAGCCATCCCCTTGTCTACGCCCCTGACCCCACCCGTGGCATTCCAGACCATCACCGGTCACAACTGTGCCCGTTTTCTATGTACAGGCAGTTTCTTTACACAGGAAGGGAATCGCTAAATTCACCAAAACCGTGGCAACACGTTTCGGTACGTGCGTGTCTCTGTAGCATCGTGAGTGCCGGCGCTTACCTTGTCCCTTTCCTGGTTGACGATCTGGTGAAAATCACCCTCGCCATTCTTCACCAAGTAGTTCTTCATGCCATTGACAAACTGGCGCGTGTTTCTCATGACCACGTGTGGATCGGTCTCCGTCGCCTCCCGTGTGCACTGTCAAGCCCGGGGCAATTTCACGACATGTGGATCAACATGGCATAGGCATCCAGGACGACTGTATTCAAAGAGACGTTATCAGAAGACGCCTTCCAAGCCATGGTCTTAAGTGTTGTAAGTAGGAGCGCTTTAACCCTGATGAGAGCAGATTATGTCCCTTCCGGCGCCAGACACTCCGAGCCCGTTTGTAGCCGGTGGCAGGGCGTGATGGAACGTGACAATAACAACATTTTACTGGGTAACACACTCTACAGTGCCCGTAGATTCCCCTGCAGCTAAGAGCCGGCGTGCGCGTGGCGAGCGCGGAGGGCCTGGGATGCCGGTGACCCACCTGCAGAAACTTGAGCACGTTCAACGAGAAGGTGTTGGCGCTGTCGGCCGCCAGCTGCAGCACGTACTGCTTGATGGCGCCACCCGACTGCTGACTCCTCCGGTGAAGGCGGAGGGAGTTCAGCCGAGGAGGAGCTGTCGGACAGATCACGTTCTCACCACTGACGACGGTAGCGGCACGCGGAGAGAGCCGCCCAGTCGTCCACTGCCGCTGGCTGTCTCATCAGCCCCGCACGGCCAAATGTGCTGTGCATCGATCACGATCGGGACAGACCGCGCCCGATCCAGCAGCTGCACGATGGGACGCTATTCGACCCAACGCGGCAACACGGGCACGACAGCGCGAGTCGAACCACGGGACCACCAGGCACGGAGCCTCAAATAAGCACCGAGCGCTAGCGGGACCTCAGAGCAGCCGGGCAGCCAAGCCTAGCAACCACGCATCCAGAGTGGACGGCACACCGCAGCACCACCGAGACCTGAGCACGAGAGGAGGCCGGGCGGCCAGCCGTGGCCTGACTCACAGTAGAGCGACTCCTGTGGGGCCCGTGGCAGCGGCAGCCGCTGCGGGTACAGCCGGGCGGCCGTGCCCTCCGACGCAGCCGTGTCGTCGTCCGTCATGGCCGCCTCCTGGCACACGTGCACGAACGACTCGGAGTCGGTGAAAAAGCGGTCGTCGGCGGGCGGCTCGTCGAACTGGCCGGTGCGCAGCCGCATCTGGTCGGTCATTAGTCGCATAATCGACTGCCACTTGGTGGCTTCGGTCGGGTCGTCCTGCGTCGTCGTTGTCGCCGCCGCCGCCGCCGCCGCCGCCGCCGGCTCGCCCGCCGGCCGCACGTTGTCATAGTCGGACGCGTGCGAGTCGGAGGGTTCGGGCGCGGTCGCCGCCGGCGCCGCCATCTGCGTCAAACTCTGCCGCACGTAGGCCTGCACGATACGACTTTCCTCCTCCTTGGAGAAGGCCGGCGGCGCCGCCGCCTCCGACTGCTCCTCTGTTGACTCGGAGAGCCTCAGGGCCGTGTTGCGCGCCTCTGGCGGCGGCCGGCGCAGTTGCACGGCGTCCTCCAGCTCGGCCTCCGTGTCCGCCTCGAAGCCCTCGTTGTCGGCGCCGGCGGACGCCCAGGCGGCGTCGCCACGCCACGGCTGCTGGCGCGAGGCGCGGCGCGGCCGTGACCGGCGAGGCGACTGCACGCGCGGCGGCTGCACGGCCTTGCCACGGCGCGCCGATTCAGCGATGCCATGCGAGCTCTGCGAGCGCGCGCCGGCGCGCAGGCGGCGCGGCGTCGACGTCAGGTTGTCGACGCTGCTGGAGAGCGGCGGCAGCTCGTCGCTGGAGTCGATGGTTTCGAGCGGCGGCCGGCGGCCGCGGCCCGGCGGCTCCCAGCGGATGTTGGGCTCCGAGTGGCGGTGCGCCGCGCTCCGGTCGAACGGCGCGCGCCGCTGCACGCCCGAGACCGCGTCGCGCACGGCGTCCGCCGGCACCGCGTAGAACGGACTGCCGGCGGCCGGCGAGCGAGGGGCGGCGCCGGCGGGTCGCGACGGGCCGAGCTCGAGGCGCAGCGCCGTCCGGTCGCTGGCGGCGGCCGGCGGCTCGGCAGCGCCGCGAGCGGCGTCGCTCAGGTCATTCATGGAGCGAGCGGCCGTGCGGGGCTTGAACGTGCTCTCCGGCTGCAGTTCGCGCGGTGGCGACGCCCAAATGTCCTCGTAGTCCGAGATCTTGTCGGCCACAGAGCTGCGGCAGTAGCTGGCCGGCAGCTCCAGGATGTCGGCCTCCTGGTAGTGAGTGGAACGCTTCTTGCGGCCGCGCCGGCGGCTGGCGCGCGGCGCGCCCGTCAGCAGCACGTCGTCGTCGCAGGAGGCGGGCGTTGTGACGGGCGAGGCCGGCTGACGCCAGGCCGCGCCGCCCGGCGCCGGCGCCAACTCGCGTACCGGCGTGTTGGAGGCGCTGCGCACCTGGCGGCCGACGCCCTGGCCGCCGATCAGCATGGTCACCTCACTGCGCACCTGGCCGCCGCCCGTCTGGCTGAAGCTGCTGCCGGCCGGCGGCGTGAGCGAGGGCTTGCACCAGCGTGGCGGCGGGCGCGGCGGCGCGGCGCGCGCAACCGGCTCGCCCGGGCTGTCGACGCGGCTCACCAGGCTGGGACTGAGCAGACTGGCGGCGCCGCCGGCGGCCGGCCGCAGCTGCAGACTGCTGGGCGGCGTGGGGCGACAGTGCGCTGCCGGCCGCCGGCCGCCATCCGCCTCCTGCTCGCTGATGGGCACCAGCGCGAGCGTCACGGGGCTGGCACGGCCCTCGGCCGCGGCGCGCACCGCCAGCCGCTTGCCGAAGGTGGTGAGCGGCGAGTCGACCTGCTGCGGGCCCGCTGGAGCTGCCCTGACTCGACTGGCTGGTGAGCGTCTCGGTGTGCGGCGGCTGCAGGGCGCCCGGCGGACTGCCCAGGCTGCCCAGGCTCGATTGGCTGCCGTGGCCGCCGCTCGGCTTGTTGAGGCTGCTCGCCGTCGACGACTGCGTGCTGCCACCCGCGCCTGTGCTGCCACCTGACGGGCTGTTCGCCAAGCGCGACTGCCAGAATTCTGCCGGGAGAGACCAGGATGACCTCACCCAAGGACACGAGTGCAAAGCTATTTATTAGTTGGCTCTAGACATGCAAATCGTTATCCCTGAGTCAGCAGCACCGCACGCATGAGGTGGCATAAGAGACGTTCCAGTGACACACAGCGTCCCGCTTCCAGATAAACGCGGGGGACGAAACCTCGCAACCCAAAGCCGACGCCCGTGATTCCGGGAAGTGCTCCCACTCATTACCACTCTCAGCTACCGGACCGCACCCACCCGGCGAATGGACGGATCTCTTCTGTGGCCGCAGGACCGGCGACCGGTCGGCGGTACACGCGGACAGCGGCAATAGAACGCGGGACGACCCGGAGGGTCCTAGCAGCGGGTAAACGGATACCGAGTGGATAGCGTGGCGCCGACGAACCGCCGCCGCCCCGTCTCCAACCACCTGATAACGTGCGGGCGCGACGGCGGCGCGCGCCTGAGTCAGGAGGCATACGGAGAAGAGCTGAGATAACCAACAGCCGAAACGGCCTGCGCTGGCGGCCAGGTGGCGACCATCCGCCCGGAGGCGTGATAACGGAGCGACGGACGGCTGGCTACCGCTGATAACGCGGGGAAGCATGCCTGATGGCGAGCCTTGAAAGCACGCGGGGAAAACACAACAGACGATGGTAAGGTTCTACCAGATTTACAAAGTAACCAGTGTGCTCTTCGCCAGCCACATCCGCAGCGGAGCCGAAGATCGCGCCCGCTTTCATCAGGCTGCCATCACGGGAACGTCATCACCAAGACGTGAGATCATCGGACTCCCGCCGGCGAACTCCCAGCAGGCCCACAATGCTCGCCTGGCGCGGCGCCCGGCCGCGTGAGGGAGCTCCGCGCCGCCGGTGGCGACTCACCTTGTCCGAGCAGGGCGCGCGAGGACAGCTGGTGACGCGACTCGGCCTTCTGCAGACTGTCGGGCAGGCGCAGCTGCACGGGCAGTTCGTCGCTGGAAGGTGGCCAGACTGGTGTGAGCGCAGCCAGCGCCGCCTATACGTCAGCCCGGGCGGTAATTACTCACCCACTCACGGCCCTTTGTGGCCCGCTGGCGCCGGCTTAGCCAGAAAATAATCTGTTATGCAAAGTGTCAGGCGATATCATCGCGCTGGGCGCGGGAGGTGGTCGCGTATGAGGCCGGCATGTGCAAGGCTTAACTGCTCTTCATATGGAATGAACGTTTCAGGCCGTGGCATTTGTTTTGAGGGTGGCAACGTCTGGCTGCTGTTGCCATTTGTAAACTTCTCCACCTACTCCTAATTTTCACACACAAATGTTTATCTAATAAGGGGATCTCGCAAATGGAAGCCACACCAAACAAATGGAAGTGGCTGAGACGGATATGAGTCACGATCCACAGAGCTGGGTTCAGCGAATAACAGCCACGGCTTCTGCCGATGGGTCGAGATATTCATCGACCTTTAATTGAGTACCAGTATAGGCACACCCCCGCTGCCCCTCCCCCGCCATGTGTCATCAGCTGATCTCCAGCCCACAATGTTTGCCGTCTACAGTTCCAACAAATTGACGTCTGTTTATAAAACACCAGAGTTATGAAGACGGCGCGCCCAGTGGCCGCCGTGTCCTGTCACGCACAGCGCCCGGAGACGCCGGCAGACGTTTGCTGAGGCAGACGGCAGGGCGTCTGATGAGGCGCCAGACGGGCGGCTCCAGAGGAGTCCGGTCGGGACGCCCAGACGGGCGGCTCAAAAGGAGACTAATCAGGACGGGCAGACGAGCGGCTCCAGAGGAGACCGGTCAGGACACGCAGACAGGCGGCTCCAGAGGAGACCGGTCAGGACGCGCAGACAGATGACTCCGAGGAGACCGATCGTGACGCGCAGACGGCGGCTCCAGAGGAGACCGGTCGGGATGCGAAGACGGGCGGCTCCAGAAGAGACAGGTCAGGACGCGCAGACATGCAGCCACCTCCAAAACGACTTCAGACTGGCGATGGGCGGCTACGTCTGGCCACGTCATGGCATAGCGCTCCAGCTTATGCAGATACACCACAGCAGCCGCGGTAAATAACGCCAGTCAGGAATGCGGTCAGTCCGGCACCGCCCGCCCCTAGACCTGGGCGGCGTGAGCAAGCTGCCGTCGGCACCGGCCGCTGACGACGTGCCACCAGCGGCTGCCGTCCGTCAGGCGCCCCGCCGCTCCGTCCCACCGACGACCGACCGCACGCGCCGCAGACACCACGGGATGGTACCTGGCCCGTGAGGATCGGCTCAGGCAGCCGTTAGAGAGTGAGGCCCCCGCGTGCGAACGCCGTGGTGCACCAGTTCGGGTGAGGCATAGGCCACATGGCAGCGGCCAGCTCGCTAAGGCTTGTGTCTCCACTGTTACAGTTAGCGGACGGCCCACGTCTCCGCTCTCAGTCTGCGCACGGTCTGCGTCTCACTGTCACAGTCCGTGTATCCACTGTGCCAGCCTGCGGACCTGCCCCGTCTCCTCTGTCACGATCGACCCTGGCTAGAGCCCGTGGCTACCGTTTCCGACACGTCACGCGCCAAATTTAGACGCGCGCCGCAGTCGCGTCAGCGTGAACGCACCGACAACGGCGCGCCACGATGTCGCTCCCAGTGAGGCGCGCCAGCGCAGGCCACAAAGCCACAGCCGTGGTGCTGTGACCCGGGAACTGGTAAGCCAAGCCGTGCTGTGTTCGCCAACTCAAGACAAAAAAGCAGACATGTCCTCCGATGAGCTGCTCGGATTACGAACATGAAAGCTGCACGCATAGTTTGTTCAAACATCACCATCAAATGGATTCAACTGAGAGTGTTTACATTTGGCCCTTGCCAAGAGCATGCATGGATTGGGAAAACTAGAAGGTCGACGTCAAGTCAGACAAGATTGGCTTGGCAGCGTCAAAATAATTTCGACCCCGCTGTGAAACTAGGCAAGGGCAGACGTTGGAGCCAGTGCCATCGTTAAGGTATCGCAGCCAAAGCATGAACATCCGGATGACTATCAAACTTAACGTGTGCTACATTAACAAATGGCATTTACAGCTGGCCAACACGACAAAAGGCCAACACAGCACGCGGCATCAGGTTTTCCATGTGATACACCTCTCCAGATCACGACGCGCTCTCCTGCGTCCGGCGCGGCTGCGGTAGCGGAGCGAGTTTTGCGGTCCCGTGCACGCGCGCTCGTGAGCACCAGCTTCACGCCGCCGCGCCACGTTTGGCTCGGCACGTCGCGGCGCGGCGCGCTTGCGTCTCCGGTCCGTCGACGCGACTCGTGCCGCGGCGGGGCGTCTGGCAGATATGCATCTCAGGACGGCCTGTCCGCTGCACGGCAATCGATCAGCACTGCACCGGCTATGGACAGCGTCCGTCAGCACTGCACCGGCTACCGACAGCGTCCGTCCGTCGCGGCATCCCGGTCGCGCCGGCCCGTTCTGTCGAGCACCGCCGCCGCCGCCGCCGCCGCACCCGTCCATCGTCGCGGCGGCCACGAACCGCGAATGACCCGGCACCAGCGACGCCGGGTGAACCGCGGTTCAGGTCAGGTCGGGTTCGGCCCATGACACCTCTGGGCAGCGGTGGCGGCAGCGGCACCGGCGGCGCCGAGTGAACCGCGGCTCAGGTCAGGTCGGGTTCGGCCCATGACACCTCTGAGCGGCGCTGGCGGCAGCGGCACCGGCGGCGCCGAGTGAACCGCGGCTCAGGTCAGGTCGGGTTCGGCCCATGACGCCTCTGAGCGGCGGCGGCGGCGGCGGCGGCGGCGGCGGCGGCGGCAGCAGCGATCGCAGGCCGCTAACGGACGTCGTTTTTGTGCGCGAGCGTGCGACTCATTACGGTGGGGCCGGCGCCAACAATAGGCGGCCGCCAGCCGGGCCGGGTCAGCGCGGCCACCGCCGCCGGCAGGCCTCATCGAGCGGGCCGCCGCCGGCTGGCGAACGGTCCCGACGGCGGCCGGGCGGCCGGGGTCAGCGCACGGCGGGCACGACCGCGCGTGGCCAGAGGATCGCCGGAGCATCCAGCCACCGTCGCAGAGCTCAGCGGACTGCCGACGCTACCAATGTGTCGTGCGGGTCACTGCTCCACCCACGGCCCACCCACTGGCAACCGAGCGCACCCACCCATCGCCTGTCGATATCGCCTGCACTGAGGGAAGTCCAGCCTACATGCAGAACCGTGGACGCCGTCCACTTGGTCCGTGAGCGTGACGCTGCGAGGCAGGCGTCCGTGCCTGGTCAGCCAGCGGGCTGCCAGCCGAACCGGAATGCTTCTGAGGGTTCTACGCGAGTGCGGGAGCCATGGGACCGGAAAGGAAAACATCCGCTCTGGCACAATGCATTTCGCACACGCACAAACCTGGAGGATAATGTCGGTCACGAGAAATCAACCCCCACTGTGCGAGTCATAGGCTCGACGAAGGGGCGAGAGGGAGCGGGAGAAGTACACGTGCAGCACCATGGACCCACAGACACATCATGTGGGGATGGTAGGCGCGCTCAAGCACGAGGTGACATGACGTTGCCTACAACAAGGTTATGAGTACAGATAACAATACGAAAACAGAAATACGCCAGTTATGAAATGGCGCACCAACTCAAGGAAATCTGTCAGTGAGCTGGGCGTAATGGCGCAATGGGGTGGCACAGCGGAGCAGCCCAAGACCGACGCACGCTCAGAGCCCAGCGGGGTTTGCTGCATGCGCGCTGTTTGTGAGAGCGGCGCTGTGGCTGTTTATAAGGATGGCATCGCTTCAGTGTTGATTGGTCACCTCTGTTGGGCCGCTTAGTTGCTCGTCCGCCATCCCAAGCAATAGGCAGGCACAAAGTGCCTATAAATGTTTTGCGGTTGACAGAGTAAGGACGCACACAGGAATATGCCTCTAACAGGAATATTCCCCAAGCGACCGATTTAATAAAACGTGGTATTTCAAAAGGCAACCACTTCTGGCTTAACGAGGATATAAGTTTCCAAGTGGGAAATAAGTGACTGGCACTCCACTGGACCGCCTCTTGCGCGCCATAATTGGCTTAGTTAGATGCGTTAACTGACGCCAGGCGGCGCCAGTAATGCGTTTATGGTGTAATATGAGGTCGGTTTCGCGAGCCCCCGGATCCCCAGCGGGTTAGCTGCAGCGCAGTACCGAGGGCCCTCTGAGGCCCAGGAAAGCAGAGGGAAAGGCCTGCTAAAAACGGGCGGAAAATGTCCCGGCATGCTCATAGCACAGAAGCAAGCTTTAGCACCAACTAACTTTAATCATTTCATTCTCCGAAAGCTATTCATGCGTGTTGGCAGTCTGCTCGTTTAAGAGACGGGTATTACATGCTCCCTATTTGTTCAAAAAAGCTCATAATTAGTCATCGTCAACTACAGCTCCGAAAGTTCATGCCCAAGTTATCCCCAAGCCAAACTTTTCACGAAACATCCAGACTGACACGTTCTGGAAAGCAACCACGCACTAAAAGTACGTGAACGAGCAAACTAACTGAATGCCGAATATTACAACGAACGACGCAAACAAAAGCTGTTTTCCTCCTGGCTTTCAACCCAGCAGAGGCTGCCTTCAGGCTCAGAGCAACAAGCTCCCGTTAAAAACAAACAATCACCCGTTCTCATTGTTTACATGACGGGCCTCCCCGTACATTTCCTCCACGCTATTGATCAGTGTCAGGGGAGAGACAAATGTTCAATACGGTTTTATCCCACCATTACCGGCAGCGGGGGCAGCTCGGGTTCGGCGCGGTTTTGCCAGCATCCAACCATTACTCAAGGGGACAGATGCTTGGTACCAGTATGTGGCACCACTCCTTTTGTTTGCGTCCTCTTCAGCGCTTTTTCCGACCGCAAAATACTTTATCAACGCCAGGATCTAACGCAGGATCAAGGCATGAAAAACGGCCTGTATTTGTAACCAGTCAAAGGCCTCAACACGCCGCGTCCGTGTTGGACGCAATAGTTTGCAGACGTCACTCAGAGGAGGCGAGACAGGCCCGCTCGGCGCGCCGGTAGCCCCCGGAGCCGCCGCTCTGCTGGACGGGCGCCCCTCGCTCCCGCCAGCCCCATCTGCGGCCGAGCAGTGCGGACGACGGCGCCGCCGGCTCGACATGTGTCGCACTATGCTAACGTCCGTACCGCGCTGGGGCCATGGCGACCCATCGGGCCCAGCGCCGGACCACATCACCCCGTCAGGGCCGGCGTTGGGCCACATCACCCCGTCGGGGCCGGCGTTGGACCACATCACCCCGTCAGGCCCGGCGTTGGACCACATCACTCCGTCGGGGCCGGCGCCGGACCACATCACCCCGTCAGAGCCGGCGCTAGACCACATCACCCCCGTCGGGACCGCGGCAGACCACATCACCCCGTCGGGACCACGTCAGACCACATCACCCCGTCGGGGCCGGTGCCGGACCACATCACCCCCGTCAGAGCCGGCGCTGGACCACATCACTCCGTCGGGACCGCGGCAGACCACATCAGCTCGTGGGGACCGCGGCAGACCATATCACCCCGTCAGAGCCGGCGCTGGACCACATCACCCCGTCGGGACCGCGGCAGACCACATCACTCCGTCGGGACCACGTCAGACCACATCACCCCGTCGGGGCCGGTGCCGGACCACATCACCCCGTCAGAGCCGACTGCTGGACCACATCACCCCGTCGGGACCGCGGCAGACCACATCAACTCGTCGGGACCGCGGCTAGACCACAGCACCCCGTCAGAGCCGGCGCTGGACCACATCACCCCGTCGGACCGCGGCAGACCACATCACCCCGTCGGGACCGCGACAGACCACATCATTCCGTCAGAGTCGGTACTGGACCACATCACCCCGTCAGAGCCGGCGCTGGACCACGTCACCCCGTCAGAGCCGGCGCTGGACCGCGTCACCCCGTCGGGACCGCGGCAGACCACATCACCCCGTCGGGACCGCGGCAGACCACATCACCCCGTCGGGGCCGGCGCCGCCACCAGCCGTCGACAGCTCGGACAAACAGCGTTGGGCCAGGCCATCGCGTCGCATTGGTATGCACCGCTGGCCGCCACCGTCCCCGCTGTGTACACAGCTTCGCGGGGCGGTGTCACGACCACCAAACGGCCCTCTGGGGCGAGATCAGACACTTCATCGCGGCCGGGTGTCGCAGCGCCTCACCAGCCCGCCGCGAGACTTCTTCACACGAGGGGCCGCGGGGTAGGGTCGTAAACACAGCCCCCGGCAGGAAAGGCGGGAGACTGGAGCCCGGCTAGTTCAACAATTTACGAGCCGGAGATAATGCTATCGCACATTATGACATATACCAGTACTCCCACGAGCCATATATCAAACACCATGTAGCTTTCCATCACATGGGTTGCGCAGAATTTTGACTGCACCATCACCGTGCCGCTGAATGCAGAGGGCCATAAATTTGTCGACTGGGGTAAATATGACCGCATGTGATGCCCACGACCGAACCGCTGCCGCTGCTGGTTCTACGTGTGGCTGACCTAAATCAACTCCGCATCCTGTTACCGTGTATTTGTTGATGCGTGACGAGATAGCGTTTGCTCCAAGTCGTTCATTAATTTCCCTCCCCTCCGTCGCCAGCCGTCGTTACGCGGCGGTTAATTAAATCTTGCGGTGCGCCTTCAGGCGCTGCCGGCTCGCCACCGAACACAGGTGACGTCATTAATCAGTCGGTCTCGAGCGCACGCTCAGCTGTTCACTCTCATCATTGGAGACCGATGCCCGGGCGGTCCGCCGTTACATCCTTTGAGGACCGAGGCAGCAAAGGGACCGTCACGACTCAGACGCTGCGGCGGGAACGTTCACATCTGAGGAGAGCCGACTTCAAAGCATTTAATTCGCAAAGGCGAATGATTGCGCGTGGCTTCACTAGAACCCATGCACGGAGCGGCAGTGGCGCTCCCGTTCCGCCGTCCGAGCTGCCTCACCAGCGGGAGCTGTAGCAGGCCACCAGGCTGGAGATGTTGTCGAAGCGGTTATCGGACGACTCGAGGCTGAGCTTGCCCTCTTGCTTCTCGATGAGGAAGTGCTCCACGTGCGGGCCGCGGCCGGCCGGCAGGCGCACAGACAATGCCATGGTCGAGGGCTTGCTCGACTCGCGCACGATGAACGTCTGCAAAGGCGATCCGCGGCGTCAGTCACGCGGACCCGGAACAAATACCTCGGCAGAGGGGCCCCGGTCTACGGCAGTACCGCAGCGGGCAGCAGAGGACCCAGGCCAGTCGCAGACCCCCGCCCCCCCCCCCCCCTCCTCCCTCTGAAATACGGCGCCGACCGGCCCAGCCAGCTCGGGATGGTACGGCACCATCTGCCCGGGTGGCATTGTGCGAAAGCGATCTGACATGGCCTCTGTCTGACTGAAACCACGCGGGCTTCATTCCCATGAAAAAAGCGATAAGTGATGGCATGATTGACTGGGAAAACGCTCCAGATAAGTGTGGCACCGTTAGAGATCGTCAAAGAAATTCTTGCGATCGCCCAAGTATGTTGTAGTCAGCCGTACGACGTTCTCCTCAAAACCCCGCAAGCCAACCATGCTTCGACATGGAACTGATAGAGCAAATGGTTCGCAGCACAACAGCATGCTTATGAAGCCGGAGAAAATGCTATGCTGTTGTGGTTGCCTGCAATGGTCCAACGCGTACTCAGCATCTCGCAGCAATAGCCTCTAATCACGCGTGCTCTTGACGCCTTGCCGCCTTAACCGTAACAGTAACAGCCCACCATCTGCGTGTCTCAGAGAAAATATCACAACATATTCTGCCGAGCGATTGAGACGAGGCCTTCGCGTGACGAATGGGCCCATTTTTCGGATCACCATTCTCGTCTGGTGACAGTGTGTACATGACGTTTCGGCCACTGATTCTTCGACCGTCGTCATGTATTATTGATGCTCGAGGACGACTGGATGGTGTTCGTGTTTCAGCCACGGCCGCGTCACAACACGAATTTTCTCATTTGAACTGGTGTGATTCGGACCAAGGTTTCATTACCAGCCCAGCCTATGACCACCATGCCAACCTCTAAGAACGCTCTCTCGGTGACAAAACTTAGTGTTCATCTGCTGGATGTTTCAAGATTTTTTCCCGGCATTGAGACCCACATGGTGCTGATGTCCACGTTGTGCTGATAACCACTCCTTCAAAGGACGCTTGCAAAACATGGCGATGGCCCATGTTAAATGGCCGAAACATTGTGTCCGTACTAACACACCAAACGAGGAAGATGGTCCCAACAGATACTCCATCCGTAACATGACAGCCTTCGGTGGCCAGCCACCAAAGCAACGGTCCTAAAACCTATCAGCACGAAGAGCCACCCACGAGAAGGGCCGCGATTGCAGCCGATGGCGTAGAGGCCCACGTCACGGCGGCCGGAACCCTCGTGACCCCATTTGGTCACGGGCCAGGCACCGTCACGAGCGTCAGGTCACGAGACCGCCGCCGGGCAGACGAGCAACAGTAATCCGGTGACGATCCGGTGGTCTGGAAGTCCGGTGGTCCGGTGGTCCGGTGGTCCGGTGGTGGTCTGGTGGTCCGGTGGTCCGGCAGTCCGGTGGTCTGGTGGTCCGGTGGTGGTCTGGTGGTCCGGTGGTCCGGTGGTCCGGTGGTCCGGTGGTCCGGTGGTCCGGTGGTCCGGTAGTGGTCCGGGGCCGCGCATTTTCCGATTAAATTGACGAAGACGCGCTTCTCTCGGAATAGATACGTGCCCGCCTTTTCGCCACGTGACAAATTGCCATACACTGGCGATAACACGCTGTTGAAATTAAACAAGACACTGAGTAAATGATAAGCCCCGTGAAATCATTACTTCAAAATGGAAGATTTACATCCCGTTGTCTTATTAAACCACGCTGATTTATAGAGCCACTACCAAAATCTTAGATATATCTCGTTTTCATTGTAGTTAATTGGTGTATGACATGTGTTCAGTACACGCTTGAGGCAACTTGACAGAAGTAAAATAACACCGAGTCCAGCAGCAAGGAAGCTGTCGCAGCCGTGGCCTTTAATGACGTAAACCGGGCTTGCCTGCCAAAAACCCCAATAGCAAACACTTAACGACTACCGTTTAGCCCAGTGTGTTTAAGCGGGTGCTTAATGTCTCAAGCATGTCAACATCTCACAACAGTTTTCAGCAGTGACGATGTTTGGCGCAGCGGTGTGCCGCGGGGCGCCGGACAGCGGGGCCACCAACCCGCACCCCACGTCCTCCCTGGCGGCCGACGCCGCCGGCCGGCCAGCGGAGCATGGCGTGACGTCACGGCGGGAGGAGCGGGTGCCGCGCTCGACAGCCCGCCGGCCGCCCGACATGCCGGGCTATCGGCAACATCGCCACCGACAGAAGCTCGGCGAAACCTGGCCGGCCGGGCGGCGGACGGGGTCCCACCCAGCCCGGCTCGGCTCGGCCCGGCCCGGCCCGGCCCGGCCCGGCCCGGCCCGGCCCGGCGTCCCCAGCCCGGCCGGCAGCGCTGGCACACCCCGGGAATGTTACCGACGGCGGGGCGCTGGATCTGGGCAGCTCGCCGCCAAACAAAACAGCTGGCGGCAGCCGGTGAGTCGCGGCCGTTAAACTCACGCCTGAACCGCACTCGATTGCTGCCCAGCTGTCCCTCCTGAGCAACAATCTGGGTCACGCCCTCTGCCGCCGCCGCCGCCCCGGTAAAAACGACTAACGACTTGCCGAGTGGGCGCCAGCTTCCCAGTCGGGAGAAGTCCGAACGGTCGGCTGTTCATGATAATGAGCCATCCGAGAGCAATTAGAGGACGTATTAACGGGCGGGCTGTGAGCCGCCCTGTCGTGATTGCCACCAGGTGCCGGGCGCGTGGAGACGGCGGCCCGACGGCCCATCTGCCGACGACATAGTTTTTCATGCGCTCCGAGCCACGCTGCCGGTGGCGGCTGCCAAGTGGCCCGGCGGGAAGCGGCCGGCGGGGAAGAAACGGCCGCGGGTGCGCCGGAGAGCGTCTTTGCATGCAGCCCCGTCCCTGCCGCCGTTCTGCTTTTGTTTCAGGAAGAAAACACTACGCAAACTGACCAACTCGCATGACTCTCAGGAGGGCGTTGTCATGCAACTTCTTCTCTCCTGCACCACGACTTACAGCCACGATCGGGCCCGCCGGTCTCAGGCGAAACCCATCCTCAAGCATCCGCTCGAGGTCAACCCACCCATGCCAAGCACCGCGTGGTGTAGAGACCCCGGACGGCGTATCCGCGCCCGCCCAAGTCCCGCACCAGCCACGTACCCCAGGAGGCTTGCCCTGCAGCAGGTGTTCGGCGCCGGCTCTGTGGATGCCCGGCAGGAACCAGATGGGCAGCGAACGAATGAGGCGCTCGGTGAGGCTCATCTCGGCCGGCGGCCCCGGCTCCAGCTCACTGCAAGACGTCGACATGGGGCTGTCCTCCTGAAACGACACACCGGAACAGCGGTCAGGATCGGCCACACGACCGATTCCGGCGCTGAAACACGACGAGCAAAAGCCGTACTTGATGGCATGACGGCGTCACACTGAGATATACGCCAGCTGGTCAGTTTGCGCAGTGCTTTCTTCCTGAAACAAAAACAAGATGGCAAGAAAAAGGTTTGAACTTGGCTGAGTTTGAAAAGCACAGCTTCCGGTTCACGCGACGAGGGCTACAGCGCCAGCATCATGCGAAGAGAGCACACAATGGCATCTTATCCTGTGCTCTGGAAGCACCAGAAAATCATCACTTGTTGAACATAAAACAATAAAAATAACCGAGATCTTCCCCATGGAGGTCGGTGGTCCACCACGTGCCGCGCCGATCAACATTAGGGTGGCCTTCGGGCACCCGGTTCATGCTGTAGCACGCCCGGCGGCCGGCCAGCCTTTCCGGCACACGCCCCCAGAGATTGTGAAACCATCACAAGTTTGACGAGCAGCGCGCGCCCCTAGCCGCCAGCCGCCGAGTAAATTATTGATCAGTTGACGACGCCTGGATTGAAATTTGGCACTTTCCCGGACCTTTAAAAGTTAATTTGGACGCTGGACGGGCAGGCAAAGTTTCCATTTGGTGCGGCGCCGTTGTTGGCGGTAGGGCCGAGCCGGTGGCGACGTCGGGCAGGACAGACCAGTCTTGGACCGGCTGGGACACGAGCTGCCGCCGCCAGCTCCTCGGGGCCAGGCAGTGGCGCCACTTTGCTCCCGGGCCGGCAGTGCAGTGCCCGCCGGCGCCTGTTGTGGTGTCGCGGGCGGGGCGAGCGTGCCCGCCGGCGCTGACCTGCCGACGGCGGCCGGCCAGCCGCGGCTGCTGACCGGCACCGGGCCGCAGACAGGGGAGCCTGACACCGCCCCTAGCTGTCGGCGACGACACAGCGACCGCCGAGGCCCGCAACGGTCGGGGTATGACTCCGTGCCCGCAGAGACGTGCTCAAACGGAGCACGGTGTCGGCGACCTCAATCGTGACAGGTGCCAACGGGTGGCCACAGCCACTGTACAGACCATACCGAGCCACAGCCACTGTACAGACCATACCACAGCCAGGCTGGTCACAGCCACTGTTCAGACCATACCGAGCTCCAGCACGACAAACGGCTCTGGAGGAAATGGTTCGATGACGGGGCACACGGCAGCAGGCGTGGATTCGGCCGAGGGGGACTGACAGGCGTAGGTTCGGCCAAGTGGCCAGGGAACAAAGTCAAGTAACGCCGGGCTGGTTAGTCGCGCGCGTATCGACTCAAGCATGGTGGACGTTCAAATGAATGCTAATAAGACCGATTGCGTGATCTTGATTCGTATCACCTATGTATCATGACAGATATGAGTAATGACCGCGTCTTTATGACGCATGTTATATATATATATATATATATATATATATATATATATATAATAATATAATATGTGTGTGTTGTGTGTGTGTGTGTGTGTGTGTGTGTTGTGTGTGTGTGTGTGTGTGTGTGTGTGTGTGTGTGTGTGTGTGTGTGTGTGTGTGTGTGTGTGTGTGTGTGTGTGTGTGTGTGTGTGTGTGTGTGTGTGTGTGTGTGTGTGTGTGTGTGTGGTGTGTGTGTGTGTGTGTGTGTGTGTGTGTGTGTGTGTGTGTGTGTGTGTGTGTGTGTGTGTGTGTGTGTGTGTGTGTGTGTGTGTGTGTGTGTGTGTGTGTGTGTGTGTGTGTGTGTGTGTGTGTGTGTGTGTGTGTGTGTGTGTGTGTGTGTGTGTGTGTGTGTGGGTGTGTGTGTGTGTGTGTGTGTGTGTGTGTGTGTGTGTGTGGTGTGTGTGTGTGTGTGTGTGTGGTGTGTGTGTGTGTGTGTGTGTGTGTGTGTGTGTGTGTGTGTGTGTGTGTGTGTGTGTGTGTGTGTGTGTGTGTGTGTGTGTGTGTGTGTGTGTGTGTGTGTGTGTGTGTGTGTGTGTGTGTGTGTGTGTTGTGTGTGTGTGTGTGTGTGTGTGTGTGTGTGTGTGTGTGTGTGTGTGTGTGTGTGTGTGTGTGTGTGTGTGTGTGGTGTGTGTGTGTGTGTGTGTGTGTGTGTGTGTGTGTGTGTGTGTGTGTGTGTGTGTGTGTGTGTGTGTGTGTGTGTGTGTGTGTGTGTGTGTGTGTGTGTGTGTGTGTGTGTGTGTGTGTGTGTGTAAGTATCTCTTCACCAACACGTTGCATCAATAGCACAACTTCGGTGGCACCAGCTGTAGCGGTCCCTGACCACGCTGCAGGCGTTGCAGGCTGTGTGTCCTCTCCCTGCCGGAGCGGCCCGGCAAGCCCTGTTTCGATCGACGCCGAGGGACGCAGGCCTGTTTATTTGGCTGCGCGGAGGGCGCCCGGCACGCCCTGCGCCCCTGCATTAACGTATTGTGTTTGGCGGCGGGACCCCGGGGCGTCTTGGGCCGGCACACAGAGGCCCCGCACAGCGGCTGCTACTGACGGTGCGCCGCAGTCCAGGGGGTCTCTGCCGGCCGCCCCGGCGCACACAGGCCCTGGCCAAGGGGAAACACGCCAGCTAAGTGGAAATGCCCCGGGACATTTGGCACGGCCAACAGGATGGCGGCGTTACGAGCCGCGAATGCCGCGCGGCTCGGCATGCGCCGCCACCGGCACCTCTGACAGACAGGGGCACCGTCCAGTCCGGTTACACCGACCTGATTCTTGTTGTTGTTCAGCTGGAGCAGCTTCTGTGTGGCCGCTGCGTCCGGAGAGGCGACCACCGAGTCCGTCTGAGAAGGCATCCTGAAACGAGGACGACAGGGATCAGCGGCGCGGCGAGGGAACGCCAGGACTCCAGCCGAGAGGTCGCGCCGGGGTCAGGCCATCGTGGGGTCCCGGTCGAATCAAAGCATAAATCCATCGTTCACAGTCACGGACGGGTCGGGGGGGGGGGGGGGGGCATTATCTGCGCTGGCGTCGTCAGCGCCACTGTGCGGTCCCCTCTGCCATGGGCGGCCTCCACCCGCATCCGCACCCGCACGCCGACCGGTCGTCTAAAGATACCTGACCTACCTGCGCCAACCAGCGTTACGCGTACACAAACCGTTACTATGGCGACAGATCGATGGTGGATTTCTCCGCGCCTGACGCCCCTCCATGGCTGGGACACCCCACGACAATGAAGCACTTCCTGCTGGGGACGCACTGAGGCGCAGCTAGTGGGTCTGATGCGGCACTGTGGCGCAGGTAGTGAGTCTGATGCGGCGCTGAGGCGCAGCTAGTGGGCCTGATGCGACGCTGTGGCGCAGGTGGTGGGTCTGATGCGGCACTGTGGCGCAGGTAGTGGGTCTGATGTGGCGCTGAGGCGCAGCTAGTGGGCCTGATGTAGCGCTGAGGCGCAGGTAGTGGGTCTGATGCGGCGCTGTGGCGCAGGTGGTGGGTCTGATGCGGCGCTGAGGCGCAGGTAGTGGGTCTGATGCGACGCTGAGGCGCAGGTAGTGGGTCTGATGCGACACTGAGGCGCAGGTGGTGGGTCTGATGCGACGCTGAGGCGCAGGTAGTGGGTCTGATGCGACGCTGAGGCGCAGGTAGTGGGTCTGATGCGACGCTGAGGCGCAGGTGGTGGGTCTGATGCGACGCTGAGGCGCAGATGGTGGGTCTGATGCGACGCTGAGGAGCAGGTGGTGGGTCTGATGCGACGCTGAGGAGCAGGTGGTGGGTCTGATGAGGTCCCGACGCCCGAGGTCCCGATGAGATCCCGGTGGGGTCCCGACGCCAGCAAGGTCGCCACTGAAGGTGGAGCGCGCGGCGGCGTAGCCAGGGGGGGGGGGGTGACTTTGGGGCCTGATGGTGACTTTGGGATCTCCCCTGCGGGTGGTGGAGCCCCCTGGGACAGAACAAATCCCGGCGCATTTGGGCAATCCAATCCCGCTCCTCCGAAGTGAAGTCAAGGCTACTCCACTGGGCGCGTGGGGCGGGGTACACGCGACATGCCCTGAGTGCTGGCTGTCGCTGGGTCGACCCGCCGACAATGCCCCATATGCGGTCTTCGATGTGTGATCGATATGCCTGGACGATGGAGGTGGGATGCCTGAAGCAGGAACTGCCGCTCACCTGCTGTATTGGCTATGACACTAACACGCTTCAGAGGGGAGGGTCCGACGGCATCTAGCAGCCAGAGCGAAGGCATCTCTGAGACATTCCGCCATTGTCTCGGATAAACACGGCTGGAGCTCCTCGGTGCCGACTACTGGGGATGCTGAGGCACGTTTTCGTGACGTTACCAAGTTATAAGTGATGCATCCACGCGTTGCAGCGCACGCGCAACCGGGAACCCACCGTGGGACCCCCCCACCCCCCCCCCCCCCCCCCGGATTCCCCGGTCCAGAGCCGACAGAAGTCGAAGCCGCCGAGGAGGCGCCGCCTCTTCCCCGTCTGCCAACCGCCACCTCGTCTGCCGCACACCCATCCCGCCTGCCGCTGACCAGTGTTTGTCGCTCGCCGCCGGCGAGCTAGGAGATGGCGCGCAGGGACCCGGTACGCCCGCAGACGTGCCGAGCAAATAAGCTAATGAGGGATGAGAAACGGCGCCGGATGAGAAGCGGCGCCGGTGTTTGAGACCTGAGCCGGGGGCGGCCTGAGCCCCTGAGCCGGGACGCGCTGGGTGGGGTCGCGCTGGGTGGGACGCGCTGGGTGGGGTCGCGGCGCTGGTCGGTACCATCCATCCGATGTCACGCGGCCCTGTGGCGGGCCCTGTGGCGAGCCCGGCCGCCCACACGACACGCGACCCGGCCTTTCACCGGCTCTCGCTGGCCGCCGGCAGGGACAGCCAGGCACCTCGCGGTCGTTTCGCCGCGGCAGATTGGCCAGCGAGGCACCGGGGCGCCTCGGAGACGCTCAACATACAGACGCCAGCCCCCCCCCCCCCCCCTCCCCGCGCACCTGCAGGTCGCGCCGACATCTGGCTAGCCCGGAGACAGCGTCCGAGTGACGTCACAGCTGACAGCGCCTCTGTGACGTCACTCCTAGCTGGCGCTGCTCGGCAGAGGTGCTGGTGGCGCCGCTCGACCTCCAGCCACGGCCGGCGGAAGGCGAGTGGGCGAGGCGGCCGGCCGATCACGCGCCGCGTGGGAGCCGCGCCGCCCACCGCGCCGGCGACGTCCTCATACCACCGACAGCGCCTCCCCCCCCCCCCCCCTACACATCCAGCGCCGCCAGCTGATGACACAGCCGGCTACTCTCACCACGCTGGTCCCAGCGCCGGCACTGTGCGGTGGAAGGGAGGTGCGGGCGGCATGATTGCCAGTCATGACGCCGCAGCCAAGCCGGCAGGAATGGCTCGGCTGACGCATCGGCAAGACAGCGGGCTCGGCAGATACATATATATTGTGGTGCCAGATGTTTATGTGGCTGGAGTCATATCATTCACAGCGAGCTGGCGTGTCCAGATATCATGTGTCCGGGATGGCTGGGGTGTGTCTGAATGCCACAAAGCAACAGTCATGTGCAACGACCTGAATCATTTCCGGAGCTATAGGCTGTGTACTGCAGCACCCGCCCGCTCGCTCACCAGTGCTCGCGAACGCAATGCTAAAACAGGTTTGGCTTCTCCTGGACGGAGGCTGTATCAAGCCAAGATCTGGGATAGGACTTGTAAACACATGAACGGGATTGAGGCAAACTGAGGGAGGCCCACCACCTGTTGATTTGCGCTCAGCGCTGTCTTTTACTGGTGCCCACAAACAAGAACATCCGACGCATCTGAACAGAACAATAATGGATTCAACGTCCGTCCAGTCAGTGGTACAACCAAGAACACTCGACGCACCAGGGCAGAACAACAATGGATTCAACGTCCGTCCAGCCTGTGACACAAACAAGAACACTCGACGCACCCGAGCAGAACAACATCGGATTCAACGTCCAGTTTGTGATACAAACAAGAACACTCGGCGCACCAGGGCAGAGCAACAATGGATTCAACGTCCGTCCAGTCTGTGACACAAACAAGAACACTCGACGCACCAGGGCAGAACAACATCGGATTCAACGTCCAGTCTGTGATACAAACAAGAACACTCGACGCACCAGAGCAGAACACCAACGGAATTAACGTCCAGTCTGTGATGCAAACAAGAACACTCGACGCACCAGAGCAGAACAACAACGGATTTAACGTCCAGTCTGTGATACAAACAAGAACACTCGACGCACCAGAGCAGAACAACAACGGATTCAACGTCCAGTCTGTGATACAAACAACAACACTCGGCGCACCAGAGCAGAACAACAATGGATTCAACGTCCAGTCTGTGATACAAACAACAACACTCGACGCACCAGAGCAGAACAACACCGGATTCAACGTCCGCCCGGTCAGTGACACAAACGGACCAAGCAAGGAGGCAAGTGTAATTTGCAAACGAAATGCGTATTTGCAGACTAAACAAAAGAACGTTTTTCTGCACCGACGATGAACAGGTCTTAGCGGTTTATAGACCTCACACGTCTCTAAAAGTTTCCTGCAAACTCAAATATGCAATGCTTCCATGAGGTTTCCGCCAGGCGAAGACAACGAGCTAGCAACCGCCACAATTAACTCGTGCAGATCATAGTTATATGGCGGTACTGACTTCCGAGTTTCCTACGCACCCCCCGTACCGACCAGTCTCTTGTCACTGTCGACTCTCACCTCGCACCTCTCCCAGGTTCAGTCTCCGCCCCTACATGGCTGCTCAAGCTTCTCCCCAGGCAGACCTCATAACCTGTGCTGGACTGGACTGACAATCTGACGGTCCGTCGGACAGTCCGCTGGGCGCTGTGCGGGGACCACGGTCCAAACGGCCGCGGCTGGGTGCGGGGGCGACCGGCCGGCCCGTCCCGTTTGCCCGAGCCGGCCCAGCTAATGACACCACCGGCGGCGGTTCCGGCGGCCGGCGCCAGGAGGCGGCCCGGCTGACCCGCAGGTCACCAGGACCTCATCGCTCGCTCGGCCAAACTTGAGGTTCGCGCGCTCGGCCCGGCAGACGTCATGCGACCCGTGACGCGCCACAGACCTTCAATCCGCTCTCCCACGAGGCGCAGACGACACCCCACGGAGACCGCAGCAGCCTCTATCTGTAACTCTCGCGAGCTAGTTAACGAAAGCCGCAAGCTTCAGCACCACCGACGCGTTCATTTCGTTCGCCAACGAGCCCGAGAACGACACTAGCCGGCTGCGGCACGGCCACCTTCATTTCGTCCGGAGACGCGGCCAGACTACGGACGCGCTCGGCGCCCCCCGGCCGCAGCCGTAACGCTGAATAACTTGCCAAGCCAGCAGTGGGACCGGCCTGGCCTGCCGCTCTGCGCTGAATGAGCGGTTGGGTCAGTCACGGAGTGAGAGGTGAGAGGGGGTGAGAGCGATGAGGCGGACGAGAGAGTGAGGTAAGACAACTGCTCTACCGAGCTGCCGGCATCGGTGGCGAGTCTATCTGGAGCCCGTAGACGGCCAGGCCTCCGCTGCCGGTACCCCCTCCCCCACTCTTATTCCTCGGGTCCCGTCAGTACCCACGCGCACCCAGTTCTCTGTTTCGTCGGGTCCGAGCCCACACGCCTCAGTCCTCGTGTTTGATTTCGCCCGCGTTCGTGCGCCACCGCCATTTGGCACAGCCCTCGCAGCCCCGCGCTGAGCAATGACTGAGGACTTGCCGTGGCACAGAGCCGATTGCTGGACGTGGCCGACACCCGACCTGACGTGGCCGGCACCCGACCCGGGCCGACGACTGGTGTCACTTCCGCATAGCCACCAGCGCGGGGCTCGC